TACTCTTCAGTTAGCCGTTCCGGAATCAATGTGTAATGGCTTAATCCATCAGTATCATGATAGCCAGTTATGCAATCATCAAGGTGTTGTTCGTACCTATTTAACCCTACGGAAGTTATTCTATTTTCCAAACATGTTTCAGCGAATTACACAGTATGTCAATACATGTTCAACCTGCCAACAATTCAAGCCCAAAACTGATACAGCCAGAGTTTTTCATCCTCGAATCCCTGAGGAATATAATGTTTTCAGCAAATTAAGCATTGATTTTAAGTCTATGCCCACATCAGTTTCTGGTTTCAAACACCTTCTTGTTGTATGCGATGAGATAACACGTTTTGTTATTTGTGTTCCTACAAAGTCTGTCGATGCAGAAACAGTTTGCGAAGCTTTAATTCAGAAGGTTGTTTGCCTATTTGGTCCTCCATCAGTTATCATATCTGATGCTGCTTCAAGTTTCACTGGAAAACTAGTGTCTTCACTCTGCACAGCCCTTGGTATTAGTCAGAAAGTGATTAGTGTTGCCAATCATGGTAGCCTTCTAGTCGAACGACACATCAGGTCAATTTCAGACTTCTTAAAGGTCAACTTAAATCAATATGGAACCGATTGGGTCAGATACGTGTCTACGTGCTGCTATGCATACAACTCCTTTTCTTCATCACGATTAGGTAGTCTTTGTCCTTACGAATTAGTGTTTGGTCGTAAACCGAAAAATCTTACTCATCTCAATTGGCAATTTGATGGCATTTGTCGCTCCTATTCGGATTATATTTCCCAATTGAAGGACAGATTTGATCATATGTCGAAGACCATAATGGATCTCCAGAAACGTCAGCAGGAATCACAAAACATAAGTGTTGCTCATAATCTGAGTAAGAATCCTGTTTACGGATTGGGTCAGCTGGTTTATGTTCTCAAGCCTTCGTCTTCCAGCTTAACCTCAAATTCACGAAAAATCAAGGCCGATTGGTGTGGTCCTTTGGTTGTCCATCAGGTACTCGATCGAACCCATTACGTTCTTGCCACATTGGATGGCAGGGTGCTTCCGGATGTCTATTCTATTAATAGACTAAAGCCATGTTTTGTACGGTCGCCTAATTTTCAAACTAAAATTACCCATATTGATCAACTGCAAAAGGAGCTGGGTAATGTTCCAGCCAATAATGCTCATACCCTTACTGAAATTAATCCTTTATGTTTAATTACTGATGAGAATGATATTGTACTACATTCATTCAATGAGACTGTAATCCCTTATAATAGGATCACAAAACCAGTTAATTTACACCAGTATGTACATAATAGTGGTGATAACCATCATCTTGCTACTGTTGGGACATTGTCTAATTATCAGTTCACCAAACAATGTCACGTTTTACAAAATGTTTCTAATGTGTCTACCATGGAGTTAAAGAAAGCACGGTTCAAGTGTGGTTCCCTACAAGTTTTAGTTACCATACCGCATACAGAGGCAAGCCATAAGTCTTCTTGGGTCCCTGTAAATTCTTGCCCTACATTATTTGCCATTGTCAATAACCTTGTTCATGATAATAAGCTCCAAGTTACAGGTAGCATTAGTAAATATCGATTGATTAACATGTAATACTGTTATTGTAGTGTTCATTCAGAAACCCAGCTGTATATCAACCTAAACACTGTAGATATCTACAACATGTGTTTTAGTACACTAATGGGGTTCGGAGCATTGTGAATGTTCACTTTAATAGCTTCCATATCGTATATGTAAAAATATTGTTTGAGTTATAATATGTACCATAGTTTTAGTTTTGCTTTTCTTAAAATCATAGTTCACAGTTTGTCCAACCAGTTGTACTTTGACTTCAAAAACTGCGTTTTTGATTTCAGTCGGGGGGATGTTGTATAGCCATATATTAGTTCTAAGCATGTATTATTGTGGTCTGTATCCTGCTACTAAGGATACATGATTTATCTCCCTTACATATTGCCTGTTGTAAGACTTGATAACTTGTATGTTTTGGGAGTGAGCTCCCCTGGGAGGAGGTGAATAAACATGTGCCTATGAAAGAAGTCTTTTGTTTCTATGAATGTCTTCCAATGAAAATATCTGAATACGTGTGGGTTTGACCATTCACAACAATACAGCGAAGACTAATGTTAGGTGGCTTTACTTGACTTGAAGTCGGGCTAAATGTCCGTTTCCACCTAGGGTGATATCGCTCACAAATATAAGGAGGGGGTGGTGGGGGGGGGCTGCGTACATGCTTACACGTCACATGGCCCGCCTCTTTTTATGTCACATAACCCGGTTAGCTGATTATAAATAGTAGAGGACTATGGTTAGCACAGCTATTTTTTAAAAAAGCAAAATCAAGCCTAAAACAAAGTTTCAAAACTAGGATGCATTCACAAGCCACTTGGTAACATATGATAGTCTTTTCGGCTGAATGTGACCCTATAGTGGAGTGGTGACAGGGTGTGTGTCTTGAGAGGGGGCGGGGGGGGGGGGCATTTAAGTGGGCCCGTCATTCCGCCTCTAACGCTTGTCCCCATCTTACCCCCTACCACATCTAAGCCATCTACACACTAGGCTAGAAATCCTCTACGTTGAACAGAAACTGACAAACGAATATACTTGAATATCAGGATTTAATTATTTTATCCCGTGCGTTAAAAGGTCAGCGGGTTTAAATCAACAAAAGCAGCATGTTTTTTCTGAAGTGTGGTATACTTTTCTGTATTTTGACGAGTGACTTGTTAAATACAGGAGAACTGTCATCATATGTTCGTCTTCATTATCCCGGTTGGTGCAGAAAGTAGGACGTTAAACCCCATTTCATTTCACTTGTCATCCTATTTCGGTTATATATTTTTATGGTGTAACCCCAACTCAGATGACACCCCTCCTGTCCTCTCATGGCACCTCTTCCTTTCCTTCTATGATGGCGCCTCTTCATATTATTATCTGATGACAACTCTCCCTTTCATTCTCTGATGACGCCTCCTCCTTTCCTTCTCTGGTGACACCTCTCACTGTTCTTTTCTGATGTCACCTCTTCCTTTCCTTCTCCGATGGCACCCCGTCCTGTCCTTCTCTGATGGCACCCCGACCTTTCCTTCTCTGATGGAACCTCTGCCTTTCCTTCTCTGATGGCACCTCTTCCTTCTCTTCTCTGATGGCACCTCTTCCTTTCCTTCTCTGATGGCACCTCTTCCTTTCCTTCTCTGATGGCCCCCCGTCCTTTCCTTCTCTGATGGAACCTCTGTCTTCCCTTCTCTGATGGCACCTCTTCCTTCCCTTCTCTGATGACACCTCTTCCTTTCCTTCTCTGATGACATCTCTTCCTTTCTTTCTCTGATGACACCCCTTACTTTCATTCTCTGGTGGCCATGGCATACCTTCCTTTCATTCTCTGATGACACCTCTTCCTTTCATTCTCTGATGGCACCCCTTCATTTCATTCTCTGATGGCACCCCTTCCTTTTCTTCTCTGATGACAGCTCTTCCTTTCATTCTCTAATGACAGCTTTTCCTTTCCTTCTCTGATGACAGCTCTTCCTTTCATTCTCTGATGACAGCTCTTCCTTTCCTTCTCTGATGACAGCTTTTCCTTTCCTACTCTGATGACAGCTCTTCCTTTCATTCTCTGATGACAGCTCTTCGACAGTCCTTCCTTTCATTCTCTAATGGCACTTCTTCCTTTCATTCTCTGATGGCATCCCGTTCTTTCCATCTCTAGTGGCACTTCTTCCTTTCATTGGCAGATGGCACCCATTCCTTTCCTTCTTTGATGACACTTCTTCCTTTCCTTCTCTGATGGCACCTGTTATTTTCAATCTATGATGACACATCTTCCTTTCATTCTCTAAGGGCGCCTCTTCCTTTCATTCTCTGATGGCACCCCTTCTTATAGCACCCTTCCCTTTTCTTATCTGATGGCACCCCTTACTTTATTCGCTGATGAAATCTTTCACTTTTATTCTTTGGTGGCGCCTCCTCTGATGGCACCTCTTCCTTTCCTTTCCTTCCCTTCCTTTCATTGTCTGATGACACCACTTCCATTAATTATCCGATGGCACCATTTTCAAACAATGTCTGATGTATCACTCCCTTTCATTGGCGGATGGTACCCCTTCCTTTCATTCTCTGGTGGCGGCCCGTACTTTCATTGGCTGATGCCACAGCTTTCTTTCACTGGCTGATATCATAGTTTCCTTTCATTGGCTGTCGATAACCTTGAGTCATACGGACTTAACAATTTATTAACGTGGTGATTTACGAGGGCTGGCTGAAAAGTTTTAAACTTTAAAAGGGTAGATCAATTGGGTTGAAACAAACTTTTGCCACCAACAAGTACAATCATTGAATGAATCATAGACATTAGAACTGCAATTGTAGTGTTATTCACTTAGTACCAGACTATCTCGTGAACCTACCCATTGCAATCACCAGAAATGGCTACAGGGCAGTCATCAAGTACCTGCAACTGAAAGGACTAACCCCAACACAGATACATGTGCTGACATAGTCTCCACTTTAGGGGATGATGCACCTTCCTTTTAAACAGTAAAGACATGGGCTGCGGAATTTAAGCGTGGCAGAGGAAGTCTTGACGATGACCCTCGTGCCGGAAAGCCATCAACAGCAACCATCCACGAAAACATTAATCGGGTGCATGACATAGCGATGGCTGATCGTCATTTTCTTTGTAATGGTGACGTCATGTCAGCCGTGAACGACTTTTTTTAAGGGTGGGTGAAGAAAATTTCTTCCTGACCGGCACCCAGGCCTTGCAACATCTTTGGCAAAAGTGTATACATCCCTATATATAAATGGAAACCATCGACTTTAAACAGGTCTTTCACGGACAGGCTTGGAACTTTTCAGCCAGCCTTGAAGACGTTCTATCTAAAAGAGATATACTAATGGACTTTTCAGATGACGGATTGAAGTGGACATATTTCTCTCTTGCTAAGCAAATAATTATTTTATAAAGTGATGATTCAAAATAACTTACTTCCTCAATACAAACTGTGCTATCCGTCAATGTTATGAGCGTTGTCATGGTGATAAATTAACCGTTTTTTTTACTTCTGGAAGTACAAGTACTGGCAAGTTATTTACCTTCAATAGAAGACAAAGAATCATATTAAGGTCGAAGACAAATACTAAACTCTGAAAAATCGTTATGGGTTTTCTTTTCTATAGTTTTTTTGTTTTTTTTTCTAATTTTTGCTGCTGGTCCCAAATGTTTATTTAAAAAAAACCCCAATAACCTCTGTATTAGTAGGATTATTATACGTTAGATGAAATGTGAACACCACCAAGTATATTATCATGATCCGACTCTTAGCAGGACGGGAGGGGGGGGGAGGCGCATTTCTGCCATTGGGTCAAGTGGCGTGGTTTCGATTCCGTGCTTGTACGTGACAAGGAGAGGGGTCGCCTGTCCAACCTCGTGGGTTTTTATCTAGGTCCCCCGGTTGCCTCCCACTGCTAATGACCCTTACGTGCACGCGAATTACTGAAATAAAAATTGAACCATATGTTACTCAAATGGCGTGGTTTCGATTCCCTGGTTGTACATGACAAGAATAGGGTTTTGTCCGAGTCTGCCGGTATCCTCCCACTGCTAAAAAAGGCCCATGATATTACATTAATATGGGCTTTTAGACCCCCTTTCGTGCATTTTAAGGTACCAAAGCATAGAGCCATACGCCCTTAAAGTAGACTTTTGTTGGTTATATTTTAAATATCCTATTTTTTAAATTAATATTCGAATATTTAAAATGTTTAATATCCTAATTCTTTATTTAATATTCGAATATTTAAAATAATGAAACTGCTATCATTCCATTTTTACAGATAACGTATTTCGCCGAACATAACTCATAAGAATAAATACAACAGACATTAAACAAATAATGTAAAACAGTATATATATATATACATTCATACTACATTAATATTATATGTGCTTTTCGACCCGTTTTATGCTTCCAAACAATAGAGGTTGAGATACTTTATTCGAGTATTTAAAATATTGAAAACATATTAATTCTTCGGGGGGTTGGGATGGCCTAGTGGTCTAGAGTGCCGCGATTCGATATCTAGCTGGCCGATCACCTCTTGCTTGGTATGAGCGTATGTGGCTTGGAGATAGGGGCGCCTTTTCAACTCTTGGGTTTACTCCCGGTACCCCGGTTTCCTCCCACAGGAAAGACCCCTGCGCGTGCGCTAAGATAATAAAAATACAAAAAATAAGACTTGTCTGCGATACCACCTTCGGTGGAAGCGGACGTTAAACATTAAGAACAACAACATATTAATTCCTCACCTGTGATAAGTTGACGACGATACACGGGAGTTACAACATATGAACTAAATTATAATGAACTTGAAAATACTTTCAATATAAATATTATGTAACTATCAAGATGTACACAGTAAAAGTATTATAGATTAAACACTATATTGTAACAGTTTTTATTGAAAACTTAACACTATATTGTAACAATATTTACCCCAAACTAAACACTATATTGTAACGGTGTTTATCGAAAACTAAACACTATATTGTAACGGTATTTATCCCAAACTAAACACTATACTGTAACGGTGTTTATCGAAAACTAAACACTATATCGTAACTATCAAAACGTTCACAATAATAAAGACTAAATTACAATGACCTAGAACAAAAGTACTTTCAGTATATTGTTATAACTATTAAAATGTTCACGGTAACTGTACTGTATTGTTCCTACCGACATGTATATGTGGGTGTAGAATACCATGTCAGACTACCCCTTTATACAGAATACGTAACAACCACTTGTTTTAGGATTACTAAAAGGTCAACATGTCGCATCTAACAAAAAAACTGACCTATTCCTATTACGTTTTTTTGTTCCTTTTATGTACTTAAAGATACCTGTAACCAACAAACATTTACGGCTAAATCTATTTGTTAAGGCCAGCTCAATTTTGGTCAAGGTCACTGGGGTGTAAATAAGGTTAGGGCACGTTATTTTTGGCGAGATTGTAGGTTAGGGTATGGGTTAGGGTTGGAATTAGCGCTAGCCTTGTTTACATCTCGTGAACTATGACGAAAAATTGAGCTGCCCTTATCATTTAGTACTAACCAACATTTACACATTACAATACTAATGTACAACAAGAAAACTTTCACGGTGAAATCATTAATCCAAGGCAACTGATTAGTATTACTCATTGACGCAATCCAGTTTATCAGCCAGTTGATTAATTTCTAGTATTCCGCCACGTGATTGACACTCAATTAATGGTTAATCCAGGATAAATACGATTAGAATTTTAAGATTTTTTTCCGCCAGTTCGCAAAAAGAATCGCCAGTACCGCAAAACATTATCGCCAAAATTATCGCCAAAATCAAATTTTAATCGCCACTTTCATATTTTTATCGCAAATTGCGATTTTAGCGACCGACAGTGTGAGCCCTGCTTTCACCCATAAGAAGTGTTATCAGGGGCCAGTTTGACGAAATTTTAACTAAGATAAAATCCATATTTTAGTTATTTGATTGGATAATATTAGATTAATTTTAGTGCTTAGCCAATCACAATTGAAGTATCTACTAAAGTTTGGATTTTATCTTTAGTTAAAATTTCGTGAAACAGGGCCCAAGTCAGTACCGCAGGCGCCACCCTTACAAGTAAAGGTCGGGCCTGAAAAACCTCGAAGCTTCTTCTCGGCCCACTCCGGGATTCGAACCTACATGTAGGTCATTCTAGTAGAAAACATTTTATTTTTTTCAATTTTCAAATTTCTAGTGGAATTTCAAAAGATCATTATAGCGATTATTGGTGTATGTTTCGATGCCTTGCAACCTACCTTTATTGTAAATACATACTAGTATTCGAGTGGCGTTGTTTCGATTACCAGCTTTCTCTGGGTCCTCCGGTTCCCTCTCGCTTCTTAAGAACACTTATGCTCCAGCGAATTATTGTAAATACATACTTGTATCGACGGTTGATAATATTCTAACTAAAGACTCCTTATGCGCAAGCCAATTATTGAAATTAAATTGAACCACATCTAAGTAATAGCTTGTGTCAGGTGGACATTACCCCCGCCCCCCCCCCCCCCCCAACCATCTAGTATCAATAAATATAAATAAAGCTGGAGTTTTGTATTTTAATAGACTGTTAACGTTCATATCGATACATTCAAATAAAGTATATCAACCACCGATATGAATGTTAACACCATTTTTGTATCTTATTTTTACAATCAGAACACATAGCCACGGTGGATAAGTGAGTAAGACGTTCTACTAATACCCAAAATGTCTCTAATACCTCCGAAAACATCACAATTTAATTCCAAATTCAATTTGAAAGTTAATGATAAGTTCTGTAATAGTAGAATTAATAACCATTAAAAGTGACGTCATGACATTATTCTACGTAATATAATAGAATGACGTCATAACAATTAGATTTACCGTGTATATCACTACTGGAAAGTCGCACATTGTATTTTCTGCAAGAATATTTGCTATTTTCGCACGAATCTCTTCGAATTGACCTTAAAGTGTCTTCATCAACTTCTGTAAGGTAAGTGACAACAATATTCTGCCATTTCCGTTATTAAAATTTAGGATTTTTTTCAGATTTAGATATAAAATGTTGCCGAAACAATAGATTTAGATTTAGATCTAAGGCCTTGGGCTAGATATTTACGAAAAACCATGCTATAATAAAGATCGAATTAAGAAAAAAAATGAAATGGGGTTTAACGTCCTACTTTTCTGCAACGGTGAAGACGGGCATACGCCATGCTTGGTGAAATGATAGACATTTTGACCTGCCAGCGGCATTACGACCTACTCTTATTTCAAATTCCAACTTAACTGCACCATGAGTTCTTTTACATGCGCGCCAATGTGTAAAGGGACCTCGGGTTTTCGTCCCATCCGACAGACACGCCCTTGCCAGACCCTCCGATACCTCCTGGCTAGCGAGCCAGCGTCTTACACGCTGTGGCACCGCGATTCCCTGAAATTAGAAGAAAATGAACTCTAAAAAACTGCGATAAGCGCTAGGGTGTGAGAAACAATTTTTTTCCATAATCATTTTAAATTATTACACGAATTTTATTCCAGAAATAAAATGGAGGATATTAAGATATTGCAGGAAGAAATGGGAACTAGCAGATCTAAAACTCTATCAAATACTCGACCAAAAGGTTTGTTGGAATTATAATATTCTTATCAGAGAGAGAGAGAGAGAGAGAGATGAAGAGAGAGAGAGAGAGAGAGAGTTTAGCCCGATTAGTCATATGTTAAAGATGAATTATGTAAGATTTAGATAAAGAGCTGGTCGTTCATGCTATGATAGATAGTTCAAAATTAATATATCGAAAATTTCATTCAAATTATTTTATTCTGAACGACATTATCACTGTTTGAAGTTTTGACTTAAATTGTTTATTATCGCATCAACGTTACTGGTTAATTGAGACACAGCCTTGCTTCACCATTTTTAAATTAAATCATTAAATGGCGATCATATTTTAATCTGTTTACATCGGCGCCACCCGATATCTTAGCGAGTTGATTATAGGCTTGTCATGTGAATAAATGTCTAAATAATAATTTATATAAAATTTGAAACCAAAATAAAAACCTGTAATGGTCAGATTTAGCTCTTACATAATGTATATTTAATACTGTTCATATCTTTGCTAATATTCATATATTTTATTTTTCATTTTTTTCAGGATTTGATCCTACATCTCGTCATCCTATAATCCGATTTAAATTGGTTGATTTAGACTTCAGCCTCCAACTAGGCGACATCCAGGACATCAAAACACGACCTCTGTTTTTCAGCATCATCAACGATTCTGATGCTACGAGTCGCAGCAATGGTAGACAAATATGCGACATCTTGTCAAAAGTTAATTATAAGACCACAGCTGAGATTGGTGATGGCGATAGCAAAATTATTCTCGGAGTTCTAACGACAAAGATGCTTGGTGGACCACTTGCTGTTAGGTCGTCTGCAGCTGGAACTCGTCAGGGAATCTTGAATGTTGCACGACAGAAAGAACGTGATGAAATC